TTGTAAGAGGTCTATCCTCGACTTTGATGATTCCCCCATGGGAGGCCTCATCCTCCCTGGGGAGTGGATCGGGGTTGGGATGGGGAGTTGGGAGGAGGATGGGAGGACAGGAGGGAGAGGGAACTGGGATTGGTATACAAAATAAGATTGTTTTTAATTTAAATAAAATTTATTTTAAAAAGGTCTGTCTTGTTTGATCCATTTAGTTAACACCTACTATATTGTATACTTAGAAGTGGTGCTGATGGTAAATTATGTTATGTGCTTTTGAATGACAATTACACAGTGAATACACAAGAGGAATGCTCTCTATGACCTTTCTATCATACCTTTCCTAGACCCTGAGCATACAGCCTATATAAAGCTCCAGCCATTAGATCCTGCCCTGTTGTTCCTGGTCCTGCATTAGGCAGGCCTTCACCCAACCTAGGGTTGGTCAAACAGCTTGAGGGTCTTTGGAGCCAGACTGACATCCACAGGAATTGGACTTCACTCAGCCCAGTTCCCTCTCTGAGAAAGGTGTGGGGATAATTTTGCATACAATTGCCTTTTTTTTTTTTCCAGGAGAGAGTGTACTGATCAGAACCATTTTCAAAGATAGGCTTGACATACACTTGCAGTGAATTTGTTGTGTGTCAGAGCCTTCTCTGAGTTCTGAGTGTTTTATCCCCAGTGAGAGCTTCCATCATCGCCACCTTACACTTTCTGTAAATTTCCAGCGTGTCTCAGGCTGTTGTAGCATGACATGGCCATTGCCCTCTTGAACGATCAGGAGCTGTGACTCTGAAGGAGACCCACACAAGATTGAGTTCTCCAGGTTTCTGTCATGGAGTGGGGGAGGCTCATAAAGAATCTCTTGAATCACTTGATGGCTTCTGAGAGAGATTTTGTTTTCTTCAACTGCTTTGGGGGAGGGGAGAGTCTTTATGAGCCACCCATAAGTTGCCCATGTTTCTGTAAGTAACACCAATTAAACCCACAGGTTCACCAAACTACTCTTTGTTGGCATTGCTTTTGTTTCATGCCTATCTGTGATGAGAAGACATTTACTTCTATCTGCTCAGAGAAAATGGGAGAGAGCATGGAATCAGGGAGCTGGGGACAGGAAGGACTTTGCCCACCTTAGGCAGACTTTGGTGCTGATCTCAGGCTTTGGGTGAGGGAGTCTATGTAACTCATATCAGACCTCCTTCTGGGACCCCAAGGAGCTGGGGTGTAGGAAGAGTCCCATCTGCTATTCTTTCAAGCCCCCTCTCAAATCCTCCTAGTCCATGATTTCCTGGTCCATTAATCCCTAGATGAACAGGTCCTTCTGGCTCCAATTGGTGGGTTCAGTGTCTTTGTAAATGGACAGGTCAGGCTATTGTGTCAGATGCAGTCTGGAAGGAGAGGGTGGAGGCAGCAGCCCATAAAACTGGGTCAGATGCTTGTTATGCAAATGATCAAGAGAATATCTCAGAACATCAGGTCTCTTGGGCCTCAGGATCAGGACTTCCCTGTGGCTGTTGGCAAGCCTGTCTACCTTTGTCCTGGGGAGGGGGGGTCTTCCATCATCACTTTCTCACTGTGGAGATCTCCGTTCAGTTTCAGGGTTATTCATTGTCTGGCACTGTTTGTGCTGACTGGTGAGTCTGCTGTTGCAGGGGGTGGTGAATTCAAGGTGTTTTATCTCCAGCTCACTGCTTCCTTCTTCCTCCATTCCTCTTCCCATTCTTTCTGTTTTCCTTCAAGACTGACTCGGGGGAAATACCTTGTTTCCCCCTTTCACTTCTCTCTTCCTTCCTCACTTCCTGTCTTCCTTTCATTTTTTTCCTCCCTCTCTTTCCTCCCCTTTTCTCTTTGTTCCCCCCTCACTCCAGTTTTTGAGGCAGAGTCTCACATTATAGCCTAACCTGGCTTTGAGCACACAACCCTCCAGGAGGAGGAAGCTGGTAACAGTGAAAACTGTATGACTACCTAGTCTTCAATCCCCATCAGATACCCAACATAGTAGAGCAAACAATTTCCAAAACTATAGGAGCAGCAGAGACATTTGGCTGTGTGAACAGTTACCCAAGGTTTCTCTGCAACTTTGGGGCATCCAACTTCAGCCTAAAGGCCTAGAATATCTGATAAATATTTGACACACTTTTTTGAATCAGGAATTTTGAAGGACTGTCCTACTTTTTCTTGGCAAGGTTGAACAGTCACCTTCTTTTGTCTCCTGCTGTGCAATTTGGACAGATTACTATCAGCACTTGAGGCAAGGATAGTTTCTTTGCCCAGTGGCTAACTTTGCCAGAAATAAAAGCCAACTCCATATGGAGGGTTTTTGATGCCTGTCATCCTTTTTTATTTTGTTTGATTTTTTCATTTAAAAATTAGTTTTCATTTTACATACCAACCCCAGTTTCCTCTCCCCCTCCTTCTCCTGCCCCCATCTCACCCCTTCCCACCTCCTCCACTCTCAGAGTATAAGACCAACCTGAGGCCGGACATAGCCACTCCCAGCCCCTTATCAAGGCCAATCAGGGTATTCCACCATAGGGAATGGGTGCCAAAATCCAAGTCATGCACCTGGGATAGGTCAACAAAGTCTGGTATAGCAAGCTGAGGCAGGACCAAGCCCCTCCCCCATCCCCACCTCCCATATCAAAGTTGAGCAAGGTATCTGACCATAGGGGATGGGCTCCAAAAAGCCAGTTCATGTACTTGGGATAGATCCTGGTCCCAATGACAGGGGTCCCCCAACAGATCAAGCCACATAACTGTCATCCACATTCAGAGGGTCTAGTTCTGTCCCATGTAGGCTCCCCAACTACCAGCCCATAGTCCATGGTTACCCACTAACTCGGGTCAGCTGTCTCTGTGGGTTTCCCCATCATGATCTAGACACCTCTTGTTCATATGATTCCCTCCTCCCTCTCTTCAGCTGAACTCCAGTGCTCAGCCCAGGGCTTGGCTCTGGTCACTGCATCTGCTTCCTTCAGTTACTGGAAGTAGGTTCTATGATGACAATTAAGGTAGTCACTAATCTGATTAAAGGGGAAGAAGGCCAGTTCAGACACCCTCTCCACTATTGTTAGGAGTCTTAGCTGGGGTCATCCTAGTGGATTCTTGAGATTGTTTTTTTCTAGCACCAGGTTTATCCCTAACCTCATCATGGCTCCATCTATCAAGTGATGTCTTTCATTGCCCAGCCCCTCCTCCAACTCGGTCTTCTTGATCCCTCATGTTCCCACCCCCCGTTTCCTCCCTTCTACCTCCTTCCCAGTTTACTCATGAGACCTTAACTATTTTCTCTTCCTGGGGTCCTCCATGTGTGTCCCTCTTAGGGTCTCCCTTTTTGCTTAGCTTCTCCAGGGTTGTGGATTGTAGCCTGGTCATCATTTGCTTTACATCTAATATTCACTTATGAGTGAAGACATACCATGTTTGTCTTTCTGGGTCTGGGTTACCTCAGTCAGCATGTTTTTTTTTCTATTTACATCCATTTGTCTGAAAATTTCAAGATGTCATTATATTTTTTAACCACTGACTAATACTCCATTGTGCAAATGTGATACATTTTCTTTTTCCATTCTTTGATTGATGGACAGCTAAGTTGTTTCCAAGTTCTGGCTAGTACAAATAATACTGCTATGAACATAGTTGAGCAAATGTCCTCGTGGTATGATTGTGCATGCTTTGGGTATATGCCCAAGAGTGGTCTTGCAGAGTCTTGAGGTAGATTGATTCCTAATTTTCTGAGAAACTGACATACTGATTTCCAAAGTGGCTGTATATGTTTGCGTTCCCATCAGCAATGGAGGACTGTAGGGAGACACTGTAGCCCCATCTCCTGGTAGCCCATATAGGTGTGCCTGGCCACACCTGTGAGGGCGTGGTCAGGGGAGGTCAAAGATGACTCGGGGACAATTGTTAAGGGACTGCACACACGTGGATGGCCCCTCTCTCTGGCCACGCTAGCTTTCGGCCTCTGGGCACACTCCGGCTTGCGTTTGGCTGGTGTTTATCTGAATAAAGAAATCTTAGCCTTCCGGACTACGGATCACCTCATAATAGAGGACTTACTCCCTTACTCCCCATCCCCTCCAGCATAGGCTGTCATCAGTGTTTTTGATCTTAACCATTCTGATAGGATGGTTGTTACATTTATATATTTATACTTGCTGAGTCATTCGCTGTTACTTGTATGTACTTAATTTCAAGGCTCGCTCATGGTATTGTAAAAATAATTAGGGCCTCATTCTTAGGGAAGACGAATTCTTCTGTTTCATCAATCATTGATTAGCTTTAGTTTTTTTTATTATTATTATTTCTTAGGGTCGAGGCCCCAAGAAATTTCTTCCCCATGAGTACATGGGTATTGGTGCTGTCATTGTGCATGTGTTGATCAGAAGAGATTGGTTGTGTTTTTATCATGTGTATGGATGAGTGTCTATGTAGAGTTCTCTGCCTGTGTGTGCAGGTGAGTGTGGCTTTCAGAAGCATGCAGAGGATGCCCTAGAGCTGGAGTTACAGGCCATTGTGAGTTACCTGGCATGGCTCCTGGGTACTGAACTCGGGTCCTCTGCCAAAGCAGTATGTGCTTTTAACCACCATATTACCTTGCAGCACCAAGAAATGAAAATCCTCAATCAGTAATGGCACTTCAGAAAAGACCCTGATACTGAATCAGACTTGAATACATGTGTTTTTGGTGTTTGCAGGAGAATCCTGGACACTATTCCAGGGAAAGACAATTCATAGTTAAAATATGCTCTGAATATCTATTGCACTCTTTAGTCCTTGGTATCCTGCATCATGTATTTATTTACCCATCTTACCTAGCCTGGCTGTGACCCTCTGGTTCTGTGGAGAAGGCTGCCCCCTTGTGGCTTGTGTATACTGTGCTGACAGAGATTCCCTGGAAGGTTTTGTAGGTAGGTCAGCCTTCCTTCAGAGAGCCACTGAGCTTGTGTAGGATTCTGTTTGATTTCTCTGGTTGCTGAAACATACTGTCACAAACAGACTGGCTTATACTTCCCTAGTGAGGGAGATATGGCCATGGATTAAGGTACTTGGTCCCAGGGGAGGCTCATCCATTCCACCTTGGGTATACAGATCCCTGAGATTTCCCCAAATGTGGGACATTCTACTGCTTAATTTCTGGCAACAGAAGTGCATTCATGCTTTCCCCTTCATAAAATGAAAGCAATTGTACTGGCTTAAAACAACACATAATTTCCCTTGCAAGTCAGAAGTGCAGGATGGTTGTGGATCCTGGATTCCTTCTGGAGGCTCGTGGAGAGAAGGTGCTCTCTTGTGTGTTAGTTCTTTTGCACAGATAAAATCAACAGTGCCACCACTCCCACTTAGACTTGGTGGCCTATCCCAGTCTTCTGTCTTGCAGGAGATCGGAGCAGTGCAAGGACAGTCTCTGCAGAGTCTGTATGCTCAGGGTTGACTGAGGAAGACTGGAGGCTAAGACCACGGTCAGCCAATTGATGTGTGAGCATAGGGTGCCTTTCCTGCTTCTAGTGTCCCCTTCAGCTCACCCTGTCTTTTGTCCTTGTCCTAGCACATTGAGGGCCAACCAAGCATCGGGGAGGGGTATACCAGAAGGGGAAGTTGCCTATATGCTCCACAGGCCCAACAGCTACGGACAGGCAGCCCAAGCCCAGCGCTGGTATCTTCACATCACCGGGGAGCAGCTTTATTCTCCCATGCAGCATGCCTCATCCAAACTCTTTTTTTTTTTTCTTATGAAATAATTTAAACTAGCTTACCCAGAGTGACCGGTCCGTCAGAATGACTTTTCCATGCATCAGTAGTTTCGGTTGACTTTCCCCGCCCCTTTTCTCTTCCATCTCACTTTTCCCCCACTTGAAGCCCCATTTCCAGTATCCCCCCCCCCCTCCGCTTTCCACGTCACATGTGTTGTCCTACTTTTCCCTTAGAGCCTCTCTGATTTTTCCTCCTCAGGGGCCCCCATTTTTTTAGTAAGCCCTGATGGAGATAAGCCTTTTTATGAGATAAGAGGGGGTGGTGTTTTTCTGTCCGAGTCTGGGTTACTTCCCTTAATTCAAATATTCCGCAGACCTGTGCACTCATCTGAAAATCACACAATTTCATTTTTCTTTATGTCTGAAGAAAATTCCGCTGTGTGTGCGCACCTCATGCTCAGCATCCGCTCATCAGTTGTTGCGTCTCTAGATGATTCCATTTCCTGCCTATTGAGAATGGAGCCGCAATGGACGCCCCGTGGGCCTATGCACATGGAAGGGCACACAGTAGTTCTGTCTGCAGGAGGAAGTAAGCTGCACTACTTCACCCCTTCCCCGACGGGAGAACCCCTCCTTCCCTACATCCTCACCAGCATCTGTCGCTTCCCAGATGACATCTGTCCCGAATGCGGTGACATAGGACTGCATTTCATGCAGATGGAGAACTGGCTGCTCTTCCAGGTGAGCCGTATTGTACTATCTTCCCCACATCGAGGCTCACCGTATTTGGAACTCCGTTCCCAGGGGATCGAGTGCCTCCTTCACTACCAGGCACCCATGATGTGCTGCACAAACAAACATGCATGCAAAAACAACCATAAATTCAAAACCACTAAATAAAATTTAAAACGCGATATTGCTTCTTGTGGTGGGTAAGAATCTTCAACTTAAAAAGTATGCCGCCTAATTGGTTTTTGTTTTTCATTTGAGAATTCAACATTCTGTTCCTTAGCCCATTTTGCTTTTGTGAAAATAATTTATTTATTTTCCTCTCATATATTGCATCTCAAGCACAGTTTCCCCTCCCTCCTCTTCTCTCAGTCCCTGTCGCCGTCTCCCCCACAGCCACTCCTCCTCTGTCTCCCTTCTAAAAAGAGTAGGCCTCCCAGGGAGGTCAACCAAATTTGGCATAACAAGTTACAATAAGTTTAGGCACATACTCTCATATCAAGGCTGGATGAGACAACCCAGTAGGAGGAAAAGGGTCCTGAACGCAGGTGAAAGAGTCAGCAACAACCCCACGCCCCCTGTTAGGAGTCCCACAAGAACACCAAGCTACACAGCCATGGCATATATACAGAGGACCCAGGTCAGACCCAGAAAGGGGCCCTGGTTGTCACTTCAGTATCT